CGAACCATCAAATAGCGAAATTAACATAATCGAAGCAAGTATTCCTGACGGAGAAGAAGTCAACGAAGACTTCGATGTTGCTGGACAGGATATTGACGAATCGCTTTTATCTGAAGGTCCTGGTTTTAGTGGAATTGTAAAAGGAGATAAAGAAATTATCACTGATGATCATATAATAGATCCTGAGTCAATAATTTTAGAAAAAGAAGTAGAAAAAGAAGCCCCAGCAGATTTCGGTGGTACAGAAAATTGTAGCTGTCCAGCAAAAAATATACCTGGTAAAGAAAACCAGTTCATGGATGAAAATCGTAATGCAGAAACATTAAAGCAAGAAGCATTACCAAAAAGGAACAAGTTATCAGATTTGAAGGAAAGTATTGTTTTGAGGCTACATAACCTACAAAAACCCAATGGCGAGATTATTAGTTTATCAAGACTTGCAAAACAAGACGGTCAAAATACAATAGAAAATAAAGAACGCTCAGCAGTGGATGGAATTTCTGACGCGGAGAGAGGGCCTACCAAAATAATCGAAAAATCAGCGCGCGGTACTGACAATGGAATAAGTACCAAAGATTTGCAAGATGTGCCAAACTCATTGTTGCATCAAAGTTATACTGATCAAGATGTTCGTGTGTCAAATAACTTTGAATGTAAAGCAGACAGGATACTAAACCCCAAAAATCCAACACAATTACATGATGAGAATGAAACACTTGGTGAAAATTCTAATGAAGACGCACATATTTCTGATTCAGAAACTTTAGATTCAACTCACCACACCGAAATCTTTGAAACAGGTATTGTATCGAAAGCACCATTTGAGCATATCCAAACAAATGCTAATGACGATGTAGCGAATACAGATTTTAATCAAGGTGTCGACGAAAATTTAAATAAAGAATCCACTTGCCAAGCTCATGTAGATTCTTTTAAAAGTGCTACGTCAGATGAGGCTATAGAAAAGTTGGCCAGAGAAACTAAGCCACAAGAAATGGCAGTAGAGGCCAGTGAACACCGAGCTAGCATCCTTCCAACACTTACGCAACAGGTTCTAGAACCATCGTCCTTGTTTGACAATTCCATGCTAAATCCACCAGTTCTTCCCAGTTTAGGAGACCTTTTAAATGGAAATTCACAACTGCCACCTGTACCATCCTTGGATGACATTACATCTAGTATTTCAAATCTTTTTAAAGGTAATAAAGAAGCCGCCAACGACGAAGAGCTGTCATCCTCTGAATTTGATCCAAATACTGATTGTACAGACGACAATCCCATCATGTCTGCAGATGCTAGTACTATTAATTCAAAGTCAACTATGAGTGGGTTGCAAAATCCTTTCGAGAATCTAAACTTAGATATATTTCAACTCAGCCCACTGTCTCAGTCAACTCCGACAGCATCCAAAATACCGAGCCTCAATTTAAATTCATTTAAAACTAAATTGGCGGTTCCAAAAATGTTAGATATCAGGCCTGTTAAGCTACAATCTTCTTTAGGTAAAGATGGCAGTTTGTTTGGTGCAACTCTTACTTTTGGACCTTCTAAATTAGGAGCACTAAATGCTAGAAAGCCAATGTTTAGGTCTAGCCTACTAAATCTCAAACCATCAGTGACATTAGGAAACCCACTGGGAAATCTACCTAACATAGGAGAACTGAAAAGCAATGATGAGACTCTGTTAAATCCACTGAAAATCCCAAGAATAAATCCACTTGAGACATTAAAAGCCACTAAAACATTGGGTGATAATATAAGATCACACACTGAAAACACTGTCAGAAATCTACAGCAAAGCTTGGCGTCAACTCTAAATGAGGCTAGAATAAACAATGCTGGTGAAAAGTTAGCAAAACCTAGAGTTGACTTACTTGAAATGGTATCAAATGCACATGAAGACATGAAAGACAAATTACACGGTATTCACACTGACTTGAAAGATAGACTGGAAACGTTTCAAGATCATATAACAGAGCAAACTAACTTGCCAACGCTGACAATGCCAAGACTTCCAAATCTTTTAAAATTAGAGTCACCTTTCAGTGAAACAACTATATCAAGTAATTTGAGAGCATCACAACCAACTAAGTTCACAAAATCACAAAGGAAACCTGGTTTTCGAGTGCACAAGCCTTCTCAAACTGGACAGGAGAAACCCGTCAACCAGCAAGCCAACTTAAAACCCTTTAAGATGTCCAAAGCAGCAAGTTCCCTCACACCCAAATCTGTAGAAGTGCCCAAGTTAATAGTAACTTCTGTGAAGCCACCATTCGCAAAGCCCTTAGAGCGGCATTCGAATGTTAAATTGAGGAAAAGTAAGCTCACGGCTGTTAAAGAACCAGCAGGATTTGACCAAAATGAAAGAGCTTTGATAAAATTACCAAAAATTGGTCAAAGTGCAAGTTTGACTAACTCCCGTCCAGTATCATCATCTACATTATCTAATTCCAAGTCAACACTCCCGATTTCATCCTTAAGACGCCTTTCTACTCAAGGAAATGAAGGATCTGTCTCAAAAATGTCAAAAGTAAAATCACAATCTAGATTTAACTTCGGAGATACATCAGGCTTTGCAAGTGAAGTGAAACCTTCTAGAGTAAAGCCTGATACTCGAGCAAAACACATTCTTTCAGATCTAGACAGCACTCAATTACGATCTAGTACATTGCAAGCATCAAGTGCGAGAACTTCAACTGACAAAACTGTAAGTTTGCCTAACTTTAAAAATTTAAGAGCTAAAGAAATGTCATCAGAAAAGTTACCTGAACTGAAGAAGTCAGCGTTCACATTATCGAAACCTACTGAAAGTCCCCTCATAACCAAATTGAGAGAATCTTTAAAACCTAATAAACTATCTAGCCCTAAACTTAGAAATGAAGGTTCTCAACTTACGAACGATATGGTAAAATCTGCATCACAAGATAATGCGGTTATATTGTCTCATGAACCTATGAAAGAAAATGTGTCTTATAAGTGTAAAATGGTATGTTATAGAGAACCATAGAACATGTATTAATAATAAAAAATGTATTATTATTGGTATAATGATTCTTAGACGACATTCATCATTCATCATCATTCTTAAATGCTGAAAGTTTTATCATGAGAGTGATATTGTAAAAATGTATTTTGAAATTTAATGCTTTGTTAAGATTTAATAATTTAACTTTTTGTATGTTTTTTATATAAATAAAACAAAATTGAATTGTTACCTGTTATTTTGTTTTCCTATTGATAGGCATTTGACAATTGAAATTTATTTTTGAAAAATTTACAACGCAGAATCTGTTTCGTAAATAATAATTGACAATCGTGCTTACCTACTTAATATTGTTTAATTTAGAAAATAATGAAATGAAGTTTATCTTGAACGGGGTAGCAATTATCTTTTTTCGACAATGTAAACACACACCGGCACATTTAGCGGGACAAAAAAGTGAAAATATGAAATAGGTTTTTTACCTTTAAATATACATATTTTTTTCAAAGCATAAAATAAATATAAAAGAAATATTGAACGTACAAAAGGTAAGCAAAGGACGACTTATCTCTAAAAGAGATCTCTTCCAACCAAGCCAACGCAGTAAATAAATAAATGAAAATAAGACATATAGAAATAAATAAGTAAGAATTAGATGTAAAGTAGAAATTTGAATCCTAATTTCCTAAGATCCTAATCTTTTTACATAGACAGTACAGCTTTAGTAAAGTTTTTAATTAAACAAAATGGATTTTTGTATTTTGTGTCAAATCAGAAACAGAATAAATATATAATTTTTTTCTACTAAAGTATACGAAATTCACAAGAACGCATTAGTTGCAAATTAAAACAAATGAGTGAAAAAAGACAATCGAAAAAATAAAAAAAAGTAAATCACCTAACCGACCACACTTTTAAAAAACACTGCCTTATTTTGGAAATTTAGTTTGTGTTCCGCTAAATTTGCCGGTATGTGTATAACTTATCGTTCTTCATGATAACATAGTACGTTTTGTGGCATTGTTTCAGATAGTAGATTAATTAGTTTTCGCAAACCAAGGAGACATAAGTTGTAACACAAAATTATACCACCTACAAAATTAAAATTGCAATAGAAACTCATTCGAATTTGTAATGGTATCAAGGAGGTTTCTTTTACGTGATGTCCCTCAGGGCCCCTTATAGTAACCTGTCTTATTCTCTGCATCGCATCTGCATGAAGAGTGCTTAATAATTCACTTAAACTTTTGATTTTTTGCTTTTTGATGTCTCGTGAGTAATTTCAGATCAAAAAAGTCATTAATGTAACCGGACCGTGAATTCTTCCCGCTACAAACAACTCTACATAACAAAGAACAGATAGATGCAAGGCGATAAGCAAATTGACCCAATCTTAGGGTTGATACTGAATAGTTTCAAAGAAAAAAAACGACCTTTTAGACAATACAAAAGACTTTAACATAGACACTTTAACATAACAAACAAGCTTAGACGTAAACATATAATTATGTTTTGTTATTAACCTTAAGGGATTTAATATTATTTTATAAAATCTCAAGAAATTCACTGTAGCCAATTTATTTTCCAATGGGTAGCTTGATCGCAACTATTGACACGTCGAGGTTTGAGAGTAATATGATTGTTATTGTAACAAAATATTAAGCACATCATTATTGAACAGAGCGCAGACAGCACGATCATATTCATTCAAAATGACATTTCAAAATGATAAATAGAATTAGGCCGACGGTATCTCGATTTATACGAAAAACTACGCCTATCATATTGGGTTAGAAAATCCCAACAACCTAGTTTCTTAAACAATACATATAGTATTTTTTTATAACTGCATGAGTCTGGCAGCAAAATAACAATGACTACCGATGATGACACGTTGAATGAGTCAATAAATTTGTCATATGACGTTATTTTGATGTGGTGTCAGCCCTACGGCTCTCCATAAGGTACTTTAGTCATATAACATTCCGAAGTTTAGTTTGTTAGCCAGTCGTAATCTATCTTTGAAGAGGTCAATACCTCGCGAAAAGATAATGGTCTAAATAATAAAGAACAAAGTTATTTTTGTGCTAAAATTTTGATAATTGCAATCATGAAGTTCGATGCAAGATCTTTTGTTGTTTTTAGTATATCAGCCGTCATGTTTCTTGGTTTAACAAGTGCCGGTAAGCATGTTTTTGTTAAAGCGGTTTTTAATTTAAAGTTGAAAATAGAAACAAGTTAATGTTAATGAAATTTCTGGTTAAATAATAAATGTAACGTAAAAAAATATCAGCGCATTTTAAAAATAACGAAATCTAGCACCGTAGCTCGTTGTGATTGCTAATTGTATTTTTATGTCATAAGAGATAAGACTACAAAAAATAGCAATTTCAATTTCAAACTAAACACTTAAAGATACAACTGGATCAAACAAGCGCGTATTAGTTCCATGGTCATTGGATTATTAGTCAACAGAGCAAAGACTACGATTATGTTTTCCTGTTTACTACCATACCAAATGTCACAGGTACGTTTAATCGTAGGACAATTACACTACATGTCACCAACACCCACAGCAATAAACTAAGTACGACGAGATGAAATTTTAATTATTTGTTGTCAATTATTTCTTTTTCAATATATGTGAAATGAAACTATTTTTTCGGATCTAAATTGCATATATTTATATTTTTACTGACTTAAAAAAAGGAGGTTCTCAATTCGACTGTATTGGTTATTGTGTGTATATATGTATATTAATTATATTTGTCAACCGATTTTGATGACTATCTTTTTGTTGGTAAGAGGGCATCTCAGTAGTGGTCCCATTGAAAGTTGAAGAAAATATTCCATCTCTAAGGTTGGCAAACTAGGGGATGAATCCGGTGTAACCGATTTCTATAAAACTTGGCAAATAGATGTATTTCCACGAACTTTTGAGATCGGTTTTTTTCGGTCACGGCTGACTGAGATGATAAAGTCGTGAACCAGTTATGTCTAATTTTAATGCGAACCACCCTATTTTGCACAATTATCAGAAAATTTATTAATTAAATAGAGTCTGGCAAACGAAGGTTGAGACTGAGACATAACGGCAAATGCAAAATATTTGCGTGTTGAAACTCTGTTTGAACTGCGAAAAAACTCACTTGATACTTGAACAGTTTTTTATTGTATATTATTTAGAACGAACATGCATGGATGCTTCCAGTGGTACGTAACATTTTTTTGCCAAAATGAAAACGCGGACAGAAACTAACTGAACTGCCTCCTTGGCCAAACGGTTACCATGCCGCACTGTCACGCACAGGGCCCAGGTTCGATTCCCGGGTCGGGAGAAATATTTGTATGGCCTAAATTTGTTTCTCTCGTGAGTTTGGGTGTAATTTGTGGTTGTCTATGGGTGCGTCCATGGCACCCGCGACACAGGGTTTCCCTAGGATTCGCTCTGGACCTTTTGGAGGTAAAAGTGTCGTTTTTATTTTGACTTTCAATTATTTTGTGAAATCTAGTTTAAAGTGGAATAGGATAGTGCTATTGTGCTTTAATAAAAGATTAAAACGCGAAATTATACGAATCTCGAACTAAAATACCCGTATCGGCCCGTTTTGAGGAATCCCGAGTCAATCCAAGCACGCCGCCTCAAATTGCCTATCCTCTTTGTGGCGGCCATATTTACAGAAACATAATTAAACTTCATATTTAGGCTGATGGCTTAGCCAAAGCCTTAATAAAAAAAAAGGGTTTCCCTAGTGCGGGGCTATGTTGAATGTGTGCGTTATTATTATTATTATTATTAACTATACAAGCGGAATCATCGATGGTACTTATCGATGGAATTTATATTTTCATAAATTGATACTATTAATCTAGTAGTACATTGTAAAAGCCTCGATATTGTAATTTCACTAGTGATTTTTTAATTGCACGGACTTTTATCAATCGTCTCCCTTTCATACTGTCACGGGACAATCTTAGGTAAACCATAATTTCCCTAGATGTATTCAGTGACATTGTGAATAAATGAGGTTTAACAAATTTTACTAAACCATAAGGCCGTTTATTTTTAAAACGTTAAAGTTGAAAGAATTGAAAAGGTAATACTTAGTGACATTATAACATCGACTTTGTAAACAGAAATAGAGACGAAATGTCATTTAATTTGTTTGATAACTATTCTGCCAAATCATTACTGTGACAACTGTCCTCCGATTGGCCATCCCGCATTCGAAACAATGAGCTTTGCTTTAGTGGACGAAAATTGCAAAATTACGTATTTAATATTTAATTACCAATGAAATGTGTTTCCGTTTGTTTTGTAATTAGATGTTTTGCTGTTTTTCCCACACCACTGAATGGATCAGCCCCCATTGTTAGAGATATTATCTTTATAATAAACACTTTATAATAATAAATACAGAATATTTTTGGAATATACGGAGACGTACACACATCAGTTGTTGGTGCTGTACTATTAAATTTTTCGAATTAGTGATTTCACCGCAAACAAGAGTTGATATTTAAAAGTGATATAAGGCCCATTTACCTGATGAGTTGCCGGAGATGGATGGCCCGTATTTGGCCTCTATTAACGTTTATGTACTCGATGCATTACAATTACCCTGGCTAAGTTGATAATTTAATTAGGGTAGTTACAATGTCACTGAATGTGCTTAGTGAAATTGCAATGTCCCATGATTTTGTATAAAATGGAGACAATTCATTTATATCCGTGCAATTACAATACCTCTAGTAAAATTATAAACCCACGCGTGTGAAAATAACCCTGAGATATATCTATGCATATAATTAAAAGAAATGTGTGAAGAAACATTAATTTTGTTTAAGAATCATAATCCAAGTCACTGTCCAAAAATTCAGCCAGAAACGATTCTTCAGAAATTAGGGGTTCCACTTCGAGACTATTTTTCCGGATTCAACTCGCGCATATTTGTTTTTCAAACAAACCGAAGTTTTTAGCCCTTTTCACGGTTGACTGAGGTGGTAAACTTATCAAACAGTTATGTCTAATATTAATGCAAACCACCCTATGTTTTCACTATAGTTACAAAAGTTGTTAATTAAATACCTTATTTTTAATTTTCCAAAGAACATTCCAATTTATGCTACATTATGTTTTACAAATTATTTTATGTTAACAATATGAATTTTTATTATGTTAAATTTATTATTAATTAATAATGGAAATTAAAACATATCAATTAGTACTGCAGTCTTAGGGTGGCTTCATTTGGGGCCTATGAGGCCCCTCATCACTGCTACCATTAAATGATCTATTGTGATTACTGCAGTCTTATGTCAGTTTGAGATTTTTCATCAGAGGAAATACTGTTTCCCGAACTGGTGGTACGGAAAAACCATCTTCCCTGTTGAAATTAGGACGTTTTTTAATTTCAATCGACTCTCGCAGCATCCTGGGGAGATAGCGGACTCCTTTTGCAAGGACCTGGGGTTTGTCAAACTTCATTGAATTTGTAGGTTTATCCACCTGACTGCAGACTTGTTTGCGCGACGATGTTTGACATCAGATACATACTCGTTTCACTTTCTCCCACATTTATTATAATACTTCTATATGGTCTGTGGTTCTTTCCATCTCATTTTCTGTTATGTGGTTCCTTTCTTTGTATTTATTTTCTATGCGAAAAACGTGGTCTGTCATCTTTTTCCAGTCTTCAGCCGTTATGCTCGCAAAGCATTCACTAATAAGCTTTTCTGTGTCAGGTGCAGATAGATTGTTTGAGTTTATGTTCTTCTTTGCCACTTCTTTCTTTTAGCTAAACTCCATATAAGCTCAATGGGGCTTAACTCGCAATGATACGGAGGTAGACGTAGAACTTCGTGACTCCAAACTTCGTGATCCCAAACTGGTGGCACGGAGAATGCTTGCCAAGGTGGTAGTCTTCTTATTTAAATAATTCTTATATGTCGATTCGCTTAAAACTTTTACCAAACATTTTGATTTCCGCAAAACATAATCATTATCTTAAATTAATAAGTACCATATACGATTTTAGTCCGTTCAATATCATCTTCACACTAACAATCTCTTATCAATGTACTACCCAGCGAGCTATACAAATTATTTCACTTTTTGTACCCGTTCGCTGCCAATCTTGTCCCCATTTTTCCACTTTTATCTATCTCTATTATCATCCCTTTCGTCTTACTTACACTTGCCTTCATTCCTTTTGTTATCATACTGAAATAAACCAATTAAGCTTTAGTTTTCGCATTAAATAGCTTGGTGGGGTGCGCTATTAACCGAATTCTTATTTTAGCAGAAAAAGTTGCCTTATTCTAGTCGCTCAATCGTCGGTTTCAGAATGTGTATCATTTTCCAGTCTGTCTATATCATCGACAAAATTTAAAGTATTTACATTTTTTCATAAAAGCTGTAAAATAAGTTATGCGTACTTAAACTAAATAATTTCAAACCATTTTGAAGGATATGTGTTGTAATTCGCATTCACGGTTTAACCACATGTGACATTGCGAAATTCACCTATGAGACGAAGCAGGTTTCGTGAAAACAATTTTTTGATTTAACAATTACTACGAATTTTTAAATGATATTAGTGAAAAGAATATTAAACTTTATTTTCCCAGATATGAGACTAGCTGCTGTATTTTATTGTACCGTTACCATACATCGTGAGAGTTTATATTTTTTTGTGATCTGACCAGATAAACCATGTGCAGCAAGAGCAATCAAGGGTCGATCACCGGTTTGTGTATGCAACGATACCTACTGTGATGAAATCATCAGGGAGAAACCAGTCTCGGGGAGCTATGTAGCATATACGTCTTCAGAGGTGACACAATGTTTTTGAATAAGCAATTCTGAAAGTCATTTGCGCTTCTTTATTGTCGTCAAAGAATTTGTATATCTTATTTGAAATATAATACAAATTAGAATTATGAATGACCTACAGAAGGTACATAAGAATAGAACTAACTTTTTTTTATAATATCAAGTAACGGGACGAACAAGTCGTGTGCCTGTAGGTAGGCTACACGCCTGTCCGTAACAGTTTTATTGCCACTCAGAGTTCGCAAAGATCTGAGAGGCACTGCCACTGCGCCCGTCACCCTGAGACATAAGGTTACAACTCCCATGTGTCTGTAATTTCACATATTGAGAACGGATGGTAAGTAGCTATCAGATATACCTGGTATACTTATTATTGTTAATCGACAGTATATTGTTAAAGGGAGGATTACGATTTCATAAAAGAACAGCAAAATTAGAAGAAATTTTATCAAGTAAGTAATTCAGTAATTAAATAAATCAGTACAAGTAGATCATCTAACTTCATGAATATCCAGAGTTAAGCCACATTATGACATTAATAATGTTTATATAGAACGTGACAGCTTTAGTAATGACTATTCTAATTATCACTAGTAAACGCTAGAATGACGTCTATGGATCAATAAGGAATACATATATTCTTCACTTGTAGACTTGTCGACTCATTAACAACTCACCAAGCAATGTACATCTACAACTACTTGACCCGGATGGCCATCAGGCATATTTAAAATAACGAATATCGAAAAAAAAACGAATAATGAATACACTATCTATAAAAATATTTCATGATGATTTCAGACGGGTGCTGCCATACCAATTTTGTAGTAGACCCTGACACCAAATACCAAACAATCGAAGGCTTCGGTGGAGCTGTTACCGACGCAGCTGGAATAAACTGGAAGAATCTCTCTACCACTTTGCAAGATTATCTCATCAAGTGAGTTAATATTTATGGTTATATTATAAGTTTTAATGTGTCAAACACAAGTATCAGCTTTATTTAGAAGAATGAACAAACCATACAGTTGGTGAATGTGTGAATTGAGGGTTGCGATAATTATGATCAAATATTTTGCGAACTAGTTTTTGCTGTATCTGAATATCAGGAAATTATGAACAACCTCTACGTAAATAAACTGAAAGTAACAGGTAGTATGCTGGTGTTTTTGGTACAGAGTGTCAAAAGTGATATGATAATCAAAAAATATTTAAATGCTCATATCTTGTTTATCGCCCAAGACTGAGTTTGGAAAAAATGACTACCATCATTAAATTCCCGAACATCGGTCAGTAAAAGTACAATAGAATGAACATCAAAATGCCGCCCTCAGCTGGGCATTTTCCTTTAAGGAGACAGTTGGTGCCATAAGACGATCATTGTTAAAGTAAGAGGTAATTAGAGAACTGAACTCCTTGATTAGAAAAGGTTTAGTAATGCCGACCACCCTGTGGGAATTGAGGACCCTCTTCATAAAAGGCAAGCCCTCTTCCAAGATTGTGGCGACGTTACTACATTTACTACCGACGTATAACTCCTAAGTAGAGCGAAAAGTTTATGTCAGAGATAGCTTGGACTATATTGTATTCGAATCATAGGGCACAATTGCGTAATTGTGTATCCCTCAATATGTATCGGGATTCTGATTGATGACCTCTAGGACTATAGGAATACAAAGGTAATTCAAGACCAGGATCAGCGGTTTTGGAATGTAATGGGGTTGCTCAAATATATCAGCCCATTTTAGCAATTTTATCTTGTTTTAAGCCTATCACAGATAACGAAATTAATAACTGCGGTGTGCGATTTTTCGTGTATAATTTAATATAATTCTCAACATTGGTGTCGTAAGATACTCTACGATGTAAGATATATTTATCGTCGCCATTATTGGGGTCGAGATATTGCAAAATTTGTTGGTATTTAGATAAAAGATATTTTCATCGAAGTCCTGAACAGTTTGCACGTTCAATAAATTGAGGTGGGAACATTGCATGTAGTCGAACCGGAATGGAGAGGGGGTTTTGTTATATGACTATTTATTTGATTCGATTTAATTTTAGCAATGCCGTGTGATGATAACTTTTTTATAAAAAAAACTGATCTGAAAAGTTTGTTGAATTACATGTAAAAATAAAAATAAATAATAAAAATGTTTATATAATTTACGTTACTTTGTGTATTTACTAAATATTTAATTATTTGCCAAGCTTTATTGAAATTGGTTAACGTAAAGTGCGCGAAACCGGAGTCATCCCCTATTTTGCCACCCTTAGAGGTGGTATATCTTCTTCAAATTTAATAATTTAATACCCTCTTTCCAATAAAAAAGAATCATCAAAAGCGGTTCACAATAGCCGGAATAATCTAGTAACATACACAAAAAAGTAAAAAATTATAACTTTTTTATTAAAAAACCGACCTCAATAGTTTGCTTATCGGTCTGTTAATTGCTTAGAGGATGGAAAAAAGTCTAAGGTTAATTGGAACTACATGTCAATCTTGTTGTCAATTGTCAATCTTGGCATATATGCCAAGATTTATTGAAATCGGTTAAGGTAAAGTGCGCGAAACCGGATTAATTCCCTACTTTGCCACCTTTAGAATTGAAATATCTTCTTCAAATTTAAATGAGACCAATACCTCAGTACCTTATTTCCAACATAATAAAGAATCATCAAAATCGGTTCATAAATGCCGGAGTAATCCCGTACCATACATAAAAAAGTACAGTCGAATGGAGAATCTCCTCCTTAATAAAAATGGAAGTAAATAAATTTGTTACTCCGCGAACGCAGACACGTGTTTCTCCACGAGGCATCCTAAGGGGATGTTGACTGTTCGACCCTCGGCCGAAGTGTGAGCTCGTTCGGGTATGTTTTTGGTGGTGGTTTGTGACTGTAGTTGCGCTTGTGTTATTAATTTTATGCGGAGGGAGGGTGGGATAATTAACTGCATGAAAAAATATTCAACACAAGCGCAGCTGTTTTGCACGATTTAACCTTCACTGAGTTTGCGGAGTAGCAAATTAATTTACTTCCATTTTTATTAACATGGACTTAGGCAAAGTAAAACCTGAATCTATTAATTAATCTCCTCCCTTGTGGAAGTCCCTCAAAAATAAGAAAATTATGACAGTTCGAATATTGAAGCTTGATTCATTACTACATTCATTTCTGATCAAAGTTGCGCTGGAGCGGCTGTGTGGATCCCAAGTTTAAAGTTATTCTTAGTTTTAAGTTGCCACCCTTCTTTTCTGTCTTCACGGATGAGGGTTGGCCATCTTGAATGCTCTGAATTAAATGAACTCTTATAGTCTTATAATCTTAATAATTGTGTTATTTTCTCAGATTAAAAGTCTTCTCTCAAGGCTATAGTATTAGCCTGGAGAGAACTTCGTAGCAAAGTTAAATTTCCGGTCATCTTAAAAATAAAACAGGTGCTGCACTATTTGTTAAAGATATCAAGGTGGCGTTGCCTTGGATATCCAGTCACGTTGGTATCCGAGGGAACGAGACAGTAGATCACTTAGCCAAGGTTCTAAAACAACCTGTGCACAGGTTGTCTTTCCTTTTTCAGGTGTCATGCTCATGACCAGACTTCCTTAGCTAAGGATCGTTTGGATCTGGACGTGCAGGCCCTTTGGCTTAGGACTATCCAAGAGAAGGGCTCGCATTATGTCGATGTCCAAAATGGTATCCCAGTGAAACCTTGGTTTTTGAAGTTCGGGAAGTTAGAAGCAGTCACTTGTACGATCTGCACACTGAGATTAGGTCACTTCAGCTCTCACGTGTTCCTTTACAAAATTCGTATCACATACAGCTCTTTGTGTGAATGTGGTTTGGGTGAGGGTTCCCTTGATCACATTTTCTTTGAATGTCCTAAGTTGACTTCCTCCCTGTATTCCCCGCCCTACAGTCCCTTCCTCTTTATGTAGTTCTTCTTTTTATCAACATTTTGTGCGATTTTATCCGCTCTAATAATATTACGCTCTACTTTGTTGTTTGTCCATGATTGTTCTTTTTCACCTCAGGTATTCCCTCCACAACAGTAGTTCGTCGAAAAGGCTCTTCCAAAAACATATGCCTCGCTGCTGCCATAACGTTGGCGTTTTTGACCAATATTACCTTCCTCTTCGTAACTGTTGATCGATAGTTAACTGACCGCATTCCTCGAAACTGACACTGGCCCAATTCTAGTGGCCGCCATTAAGGAAATAATAATAATATTTAGTCCATCCCTACGCCTATTGACCAATACACTAAATCCACATTCTAATCATTTTGACAACCTCTGTAACCAAACGGTTTGCACTGTGGGCGATAACAATTTTTTCTAAATTAGTTTTGATCTGAATATAGTGCCCCAGACCGAATTCCGTTGCTCTGATACTCATAGTACTTTAATTTGAGCCCAGGTGTTGTTGTCTGGCGCATTAAATTTTAAAATCACAAATGTCACTATCACATTATAATTACTACTTACAGTTCCTACTACGGTGACACAGGAATCCAATATAACATGCTCCGAACTCCAATCGGAGGTTGTGACTTCTCCACTCATGCCTATGCTTACAATGAGCTGCCCGAAAATGATACGAAATTGGCCAACTTCTCGCTTGCACCTGAGGATTTTGATTACAAGGTAAACGAGAAGTAAAAAGGTTATGAAGAGGTAAAATTTTGGTATAGGGACAAGAATGAACCACCTAAAGCTGAGAAGAGCAGTTACTCTGGTTCTTTGGGCTTAAATTATCCTTTTTTTATTATAAGTAATTTTACTGAGATCTAATCAGTAATGAGGATATCCGCAAGGAACCAGAGTAACCGACATAGCCCTAAGAATGCAAAATTTAAGTGGCAATGGGCAGGGCACATTGCTCGCAGAACAGATGAACGATGAGGCCGAAGAGTTCTCGAGTGGCGACCGCGTACCGGTAGACGAGACGAGAGACGAGATGATGAGGTATAATTATCATTATCTGAGTCAAAATCCATATCATTCAGCCTTACCTGTATGATTTAATTTTGCCTGTATGATTTTTACGACTTCGATATTTCAACGGTTAGCACTCAGTACGCTTGATGACGAGTTGCCAGGTTCGAATCCTGCTAGGACCAACTAACGGTACAAACTTTTTAAATTAGGTTTGGTCTCCGTGTTCAGGATATTGCTTCCAAAATTAATTTTGCTTATAGTACAGGTTTTTTTTTTGTTTCTAACCAGGCATTAGTGTGATTGTTTACCATATGAATTACGCCTTTATTAAAAATTCAATTGCTTTTGTTTGACGAATTATTAATGTGAAGTAAAAAATATCATGAGAAATATATCCTAATTATTGTAACAGATACCTATGATCAAAAAAATTATGGCAACTTCAAGTACTCCGGTAGAAATAGTTGCTACCACCTGGTCTCCTCCTAAATGGATGAAAACCAACAATGCATGGATTGGATTTAGCAGCTTAAAGACTGAATACTATCAGACATACGCTGACTATCATATGAAGTAAGTGAATTGAAATACTTTGGGCTAAGGAGGACTCCTTGAAGCACTCTTCGTTGTCGTCATTATCTCATTTTTCATTTTGTCAAACGCCATTCTGTTTTGGATGTTAAGTGGCATCCACTTTTCTTTTAATCTGCTCAAGTAGTTATCCTTGATGCCTTTGTCCACCGGAGCCATCTTTCTCTATCTCTCTATCTCTGTAGAACTCTTAATTGTCTATTGCATCTTACTAATTTTTTCACTCCGTGTAATAAATTCATTCGAACGCCCGTCACCTAAGTTAACAAATCAATATAATTACGCAAGAAAAAGTTCTTAAAATCTAGAAAACGAAGTCGAAAGCTTTATAGAGTTCAACAAAATCTGTTTCAGGTTTCTGCAGGAATACGAAGCTCAAGGAGTGAAAGTCTGGGCGATAACGACAACAAACGAACCAATTAATGGAGTAGTTCCATTAGCTCGATTCAATTCCCTTGGTTGGAGTCCTAATCATATGGTAAGGATTGTAAATAAATATAGGTAAAAGTACAGAGATATCTGTAATAGTACACCTATTGGAGAGGTGCACCGATCGTAAAATCGCCAGCGGCGGCGTCTGTTTCGTGATCGTCCTGAAATCAGCGTGGCATATATTTTTCAGGTATTAAAACAACTCTAAAACATTGTTTAAATCAATCATTGTATTTATTTGTAAAGTTTATTACACTTTAACTTGTACTTTAGCTAGTATGTGCGTAATTAATTTTAATTGTACGGAAATATTGTATTGAATGATTAGCAAAGAATCTGGTACTTAATTAAATGAAACAAATTTCCGCCACGTTGATTTCACGCTTGTCAAGTTTAACAGCGGCTGAGGCGTGGATAAAATTTTTCAGCATCGGCGCGGACATATTTAATAGCTACTATAAACAAAAAACTATCGGAATAAGGAAATGTTGCATATTACAGGGTGATTGGATATCAAACAACTTGGGACCGACAATACGTAATTCTACATTTAAAAACGTGAAAATTCTAGGACTCGACGATCAGCGATACACTATCCCAATTTGGTTCGATGTGGTAAGCTTGTTTCGAATACATTATTTTATATAATATATATATTCAGTTAACAATGTACATTACAATGATAAACTAAAGAACTCAAATACTTTGATGAACCCACTACAATCGAACAAGGCAGTTCGGTATATCAATGTGTAGTTTCCCCTTTGGTAAAAGCAATGTTCGAACCATTTGTAGAAATCAACATTTAAATGAGTTCTTACTTAAAAGCACACTTTTAAAATGCAAAATTATGAACAGATTTCATTTACATTCAGAAAAGAAATTTTAAGCACATATTGTAAAAGTAAAGATTAACATTATTCGATGGGTTTGAACAAAGTTTCTTTATTCTACAATGTGGTCCTCATATATACTTACTTCATTTCGCACCCTTGGCGTAACAAGGTCCCATCTGCAAAATTACAACAGTTCAGGAGAGAAGCTTAATAAGATTCTACGAACGAAATAATTCGATGATTTTTTTGCTTAAATAGGATAGTTATTAAAATGGCCATGGCCCATCAATGTATGCAAACAATATCCACTATTCTTAACTATTCCATTTTGATCGCGTGCCTACTGAGAATTCAGGATATTGATTGTACCCGGGCGATCTACACGGGTTAGCCTCGGCGTTGCGTATGACCATGTGGCTTTATCATACCAAATGGTACGATAAAACCGTACCGTAACTATTAGAAATTCCTTACTCATGAGCAAAAAGTGACAGTTATTTAAACCTCGGTCCTTATATTACGGGTTAAATTAGTATGAAATTGGCGTTTCGTATTGGAAAATTAAAACAATTTTTTTTTGTAAGGTAAAATACGTAAAATATAAATATATTTTATCTTTTAATCAAAGTATGTACCCTTGTTGTCTATATTTCAGCCATCTAATCGGAAGGTCATTTATACCTTATCAATGGAACTCTGGTGACGTGGACTCCACAAACTGTGTGAAGGCATTTTGTATTGCTAGGAAGACATATATTTCCATGCAAAAAAATAGTCCAAATCGCGGAAAAAATTGTAGTCGGTTGGAGCGAGTATGTAGGATGACGGATGGTTTCTAACTGCAGGTCTTGTAGTGTTAAACTGTTTCTGGAGCAGTGTGCGGTGTTGCGTTATCATGGAGCAATAATGGTGAAGCTGTTTTGCTGCGATTTTCGCCGTCATTGTTCAATGTCATAATATGCCATATTATGTCATATTGTGGGTAGGCTAACATTAAACCATGCCGCTAGTTCCTTGGTGGTTTGATATGGATCGGCTTCCATAATGACCTTCAATTCATGGTTTATCTTAGTGACTGGTTTTCCTCGTGGTTCATTCTTCAAAATGAAACTTCGAAAATTGAACAAACAAACGCGCGGTGCGTTCGTTAGCCGTATCCTCTCCAAACACAGAATTAACATTACGTGGGAACTCGTATTCGAAAATCACTGTGATTTTCGCTGTATCTATGTTCACGTTAAAGGCTGAATGTAAAAACAATTGAGAGTCGAACAATCGAATATCATGTTTTTTAACGCCATGCAGGTTTCATTTTCATTCAAACTGGCCAGGGGCCTTACCATGAACTCTTCTTACGATTCAGTTGAGGACCTAAAATGAATCTTTGTGAGACAGCGCTACATGAAGTGTATATCACCATCCCGCTTTTTTGTCGTTACGAACCCATACTTAACTGTAATAAGAGTTCATGGTAAGGCCCCAGTACGATAAATCGGCAATTGCATATTTAAACCCTTTTAAACCACTGTTATTGCGAAGAAACAATGTCGTGGCATTTTATGAATTTCAGATGGTGAATCGACACCCTAAAGCTCTGGAATATTTAGATGGTGTAGCGGTGCATTACTACGGCGACATAATCACTCCGCCGTGGCTGCTGTCTCAAATCCCGGAGAAGTATCCTGGAAAATTTGTACTTGCTTCGGAAGCTTGCGAAGGTAACAATATCAGACCAAGCAAAATAATTCAAAGTATTCTTTTACATTCAAAGGTATTTGGTATAGTTCAAAACTTATCGCGGAGAGATATAAAACTATAAAAATCACTTTTGAACGCTAGAAAATTACACCTATACTACAAAGGTTTATGTAATTAACTAAATGTAAACAAACCGTAATGAAGTATTTATGACTTATTGTAAAATTATAATGAACTTTTTGAAAACGTTTCTAAAAATATGATATTATTTTCAAGTAATAGACAACATCGAACCACTTATTTAAGATAGTGTTAAATATACAGTGTGTTGATTTGCATTCTCGCCATATTTAAGAAATTAATAATAGAAATAATGTTAAATTATCTAATAATATTTAAAAAATATTCTGGCTATTTGTATCTAGTAAAGCTTTGCAAAATTGTCCCTAAATTGTATGCACCGCGCGAGGGTAGTGACGCCACTAGCTTCACCGAGCGGTACGTAATCTTTCTCGATCGCGTATTTACCTATTTTTTAAATTATGTCCTTTAGTTATAATTTACTAATTATATACATTAATTAGAAAAGTTGACTGAAAAAAGTTTTTTTGTGACTTAGATTTGGTACTTACCAACTTTAGATTACATGAAAGTATTGCTAGAAGTACCTAGCTCGCAAGTGAGAGATTCGCACGTGAGTTTCGTTTCAACGTAGCACACTTGACTTCACAACTTTGAAAGCAGAGACGATTTTTGGGCGCAATTCTTAGACACTCGTAATCTCCTCCGCATAAACTAAACGTTTCACATTATGCCATAACAATAGTCACGCACTTGCACTTGATGGTAATGCAGGTTCTGGTGAACTTGTAGCGGTTCTTTTTTGCAGTAACTCTTGTTTACATACCAAATCAAATGATATTTCGTGAGAGACTAGGTAGATCACTAGAATAGGGGCGAGCTCGGCTTTTCCGCCTTTATCCTTGTGTGTGAGCGCATAAAACGCGCGTGCCCTTGATGCGTTTGAGAAAGGGACAGCAATTCTTTATATTAGACGTGTTGTGCAAGTTATTCACCTTTGGATCAAATAGGATCGATTGCGAATCAATGTTTACCGCAATTAAATAAAAAAAATACAATTTAGAACATTTTCATTTGGGTTCTGTTTCGGATATAGAATGACCTCTGTAAATATGGTGAGAATGCAAATCAACACATTATATAAATATCATATATTTATATATGATATTTATATAATGTGTTTAATAACATGTTTAATAACACGTATCACAACAGTCCTACGAATAACAACCTAAAGTCAAATTTTTAAAGATTAAAGAGTCAGCAGTAATATAACGTATAAAACCTTAGAGGATGGAAAAAATAAAATAAAACTCACTATTAAATATTGTATTTTACCGGTTAACCATGTGACAGTTGAAGTTAATTGCCTAAACCTTTAAACTATAAAAAAAATTAACCACTGATGCAAAAAGAGGGTAGTTATAGATTTGAAGCTTTTATCTGTGTATTTCTGTATGCCTGTCTCTGGCATCGTAGCTCCCAAACCGAAGGACTGATATCTAAGCGGTTTTTTTGTGTGAAAGCGAAAAGCCGGAAAAATTCCGGACATTTTTTCGCGGTTTTCGGATTAGACTTTGGATTGTATTTATTGTCATCCATTTATTGGTAAGTCATTGGGCAATCTCCTCTGGCAAATACTAGTAAAACAATACCACTGTTACACTACTCACAAAATTGCAAAAATATTTTTTATAAAAACGTTTTTCATACACGTGATTAACCGGTATGTAATACATATCGATATCGTCACGTCGATAACTTTCCGTCTCTAGTATATTTATGAGAATCGATTTATTTTTATAGGCCTGTTCTGTATATGGACATGACATGAATGTGTGTTTCATCTGTGTATTTGTAAAAATAAGCTAGTGTTGTCGATTTTTGTTTGTGTGAGACCATAGTGACACACCTCAATATTGCATTTGAGTGCACCTGTTTGCTTGTAGTACTACCCCCCCGCCGATCAAAAAGTGGCAAAAAGTTACGTTCGAGAAATAACGCTAATAGCGCCTCCCGTCCTACATGCTCTAAGTCAATAGCAAACAATTTTGACCATTTCACACGTTACTTGATATCGACCGATATGATAGTTGGGGCCGATTCTAGTTTGTCTATGAATTAAAAATAAAAACAACGGTTGTGTGACATGCGGGAGAAAAGTTTTTAGTTGCCGCCATTTCGCCAGTCGTAACATGCGGTTCCTGAACACATCACAGAGAGCTTATAATATGTGTGTAGATAAAGTAGTGTATGTAACTGTACATAATTAAGCATTGAAACACTCCTGTGAAGTTTTTATGAAACTCGCCTGTCCCACACTCGTATTTTAATGCCTTTCATTATATAATAGTCACATAAACTACTATTCATTTATTTATTTTTTCTCGACATACAAGGTGAATTGTATAAATGCTTAATGACTAATTAGTTTCAATACTCTAATTTAAGCATTTTCTGTCTAACGTGGCAATTTGTTACAGTCATCGAATATCAAAACTTAGTCTAAGACCTTGAGTTAGTGGAGTTGTAGTTGACTCTAAACTTAGGAAATGAAACTATTTTTCCGGATTTCAATCGCGTATATTTGTTTTTTTTTTCAAACAAACCGGCGTTTCGGGCCCTTTACAGGTCCTTACCTGTTAGGTAGGTTATCGTGACCATGTGTAACAATCGCGAAAACCTAAGAAGTCGATATGACTCTAAACTACCAAAAACTTATCAAGTCTCACTATTTTATATTTTTTCAGGCAGTTACCCGTGGGATACAGAGAAAGTAGCGTTGGGTTTATGGAATCGTGCGAATAATTACATTTCGGATATAATCACGGTAAGTACGTATGGCGAACGGCCATGGAGTAAAATTCCCTGATTGCAGACTTATTCCCTGAACGCTATAACTTAGGCCTTTTCAAGGCGAGAGTAAATAGGTATTATTTAGATTTTGTTTAAAAAAAATTGCTGTAGTGTAGACCTGTTTGATGAAATTTTGAAAAAACCATAACTAATGTAGATAGGTACGTATTTTTTTAGTAATTAGATGAACAAGTAGGCAAGTTTTTATAATTAAGTGCAGATGCATACATGCGGTGTCATACATTTTCAATTTTTTCAACACATCCATTCAAGTAATTGAAAAAAATTGTTTTCTTATTTCATACTTCTCGATACTTTTTAAATAAATTTTAGTAAGAAAATATATATAAAAAAAAAGAAAGAGAAAATATAATAAATAAAAAACTTAGCTCATTAAAAAGCAGGTTGTTTTAACAAAACGGACAAACCTCCTTCGCCTCCTCCACTCCCATCAATATCTTCATACATGCCCCGTTATGTGAATAAAATCTTTAATTTGAAAAAAACCATTGGCAATATTACCATGGCACCATGGGTTTTTTTGCAGGCGTAATAGACACCCTGTATATCTGGTAACTCATTTTGTTATTTTGCAGGACTTAAATTATGACGTAGTAGGCTGGCTTGACTGGAATCTCTGTCTTGACAAAAGAGGCGGTCCTAACTGGGCGAGCAACTTTGTTGACTCCCCTATCATTGTTTTCCCTGAAAACAGAGAATTCATCAAACAACCAATGTTTTACGCCTTGGGACATTTCTCTAAATTCGTCCCTCGAGGTTCCGTGAGAATCAAAGTCACTGAGAACAAACCTATTTTAAGGCATACCATTGAAAACGTGGCATTCGTCACTCCGGATGATACTTATGTTGTTATTCTTCATAACAGGTAAGTTAATGAAATACTTTGGAGTTAGGAACATAGTATTAGTTATTACTAGTTATTTTAATGGTTATATCAATATGTTTTTACTACCTTAGTATCATAGATATCGTTGCTTGGTAACGTTATTGACACAAATAACGGGGCTGGAAGAATACGGTAGCCCCGGTTAGGCATACAGATACCGATTTGAATCCAGTCAGATCGAGAGAATTTTTCTTTGTGTTTGTTCGGTCTTTGCATCAATAATATTATTATATATAATGTTAATTACTTTTTCACCTCACTAGCTCGGAAAGGCTTTCTTTCTCTTAAGAAATCTGCTCGCAAAAGAACAGAAAATTGGAACTTGACGATGGACTGTGGGGCACCTAACTTTTTCGTTCGATGAAAAAAAAAATGACATGATCAAATAGGCGACTTGTCGTACATTACTTATTTAAGTAATATAAATATATATACATCTATTATTATTCTTGTTAATGTTGATCATTAAATTGACAATGATAACTAATCGTGTTTATTAAATTATTTTAATTCGTCGGAGAACTAAAATAATTTCAATAATCACTTAATCACACAAAATAGAAGTACAAGCAAGAATACCTAAATATTAATGAGGTGTAAATTCAGTACGCATCCGAAGATAAACTTTTTCTTTTAATTAAAAAAAAAGTGTTGTTTTATAGTTCAACTGTTTTTCTTTCTTCTACCATTTTCCTCGCTACAGTGAGGTAAAAAGTTGTGTGTTTCGAGCGGCAGCAAAGTTGTTTTGCGTCTATTATGAATCTATTTTTGATCTTAGTTCCCTTCGCTTCCTCAGGCACTCATTTTCGCGACCAAAATACAAAAAAGACGAAAAAACAAAAGAATACCAAAACCCTTTAGTTTAAATGTTATCGCCATTTACATTTTTTTAAGTAAGCGGTACAGCTAGGCATTTTTAATTCTCGCAACTATGAACACTGGACACTTGGCTATAAGAGTTTTTTTTTTGCCTGTTTACATAGATCATTATTAGAAGGTAGATTTTAAAGTATTTGTTGGGAAGAGGATACCTCAGTATTGGTCCCATTTAAATTTGAAGAAAATATTCTACCTTAAGGGTGGCAAACTAGGGGACGAACTCTGTAACCGATTTCAATATAACTTGGCAAATGGATGTAATTCCACCAAATTTTGAGGTCGGTTTTTTAAGAACTCTGTACTAAGATTATTAGTTTAAGTTTATGCTATGAGTTTCCTAATTATATGTTACCTTTTTGAGCTGATGGCCAATTTATTAACAATTTCTTGCGAAAAAATGTCTGAAAATGAAATTAGTGAACAAAAATTAAAATCTAACGTCTGGCAGTATGGCCAATTAGACGCCATAGCCTGTCCCGGGCGAAAAATTTTACTGTTTAGGATTAAGAAAGAAAATTGGTTTTTTTTTTCAGTCGCAGCAAGATACGTCATGTGGCAGTGCGTGTGGGCAAAGAACAAGCCAACTTAGACCTCCCAGCTCGCTCTATCACTACTATAGAATTTCCAAAGTACTGATTGAAATAAAGTTGCGAATATATTTTTTGTTTCATTTTCTTCGTTATAATTGCAATTCGGTAGCAAAGAACAACAAATATCAACATGCAAAACCTAAATATATGAATTTTGAGTGTTGTAATAAGGATACAAAATAACAATTTTTCGGAAGAGGAGATTAAAGATTCTACGAACGAAATTGTCGATAACTATTTTTATATCGAGATTATCGCGATTGTTACATAATATGTAAAAAATAATCCGAAAAATAGTTCCATTTACAAACGGAAGAAAGCATCCATCGTAGCCAGCAGCCACAGCGTCCAAAGAGGCGTTAACATACTGCCCCTCCTCGAGGAGGCGGCTTCCTGCTATAGATTTGGGTAAGGCACATAACATGCGGACGGTTCGCCGTATGGTGCCTCGTCCTGTGATTGTTTATATTCGTGGTCACGGTTTTGTTCTTAAATTAGAGTGTTATAAAATTTCACCTAATATACATAATTTGTTTCATGTACTTCGTAACATTTTTATGACTTTCATTTTTTAATTTATTTATTGAAAACACTTGCTTACAGTATTTAACACTACCAAAACGCCTACAAGTCAAGCTGATTGAATTTAAAAACAAAAATACAATAAAATAAAAAATTAGATATTAAAAAAAATAAAATTAAGAAAAACAACATTACAAAATGAAATTGAAAAACACTGCGCACAGTATGCTTACCCACTCTACAGTGCTCGAAAGGTAGTTCACGAACAGAAGTGTCCCGCACCAGAGGGTCTACTCTCGTCGTGGTGAATGGTCACTGATCCCACGGCGCCGCCGACTCAACCGGCGAGAGGGAAACCCGGGGGGTTTTAGTGGGGTAGGCCTTCCAGTGTGGAGGGAGAGTCCCCACATAAAGATTATATCCATATTATTATGTCCATATTGTATCCATAAAGATTTCCCCCCCGTCAAAAACAAAAAAAAAGGGGTCTACTCTCGATCTCTGTCAGACATCCGTCCGAAACAATTACTGTCAAATAAGTAATATTCGACAAAATTAAAAGACAAGTATCCAGTTTGAAGCTTCATTCGCATCACGCGTCTTTTCACTAGGTCAAGTATTGCTTATTTGGTAGTAATTGTTTCGGACGGATGTCGGACGGAGATATATTATGGTAAAAGTTCTTCCCAAAGCCAGACCACATCCTATAAATAGCCAACAGACTTTATTATAATTATTTAAATATTAAATTTATTATAATGTGCTGTGCGTAAGATTATAATTTTAATTGTTTTACTCATACTACCGATTTTAACTTTGTGTTTGTCTCGTATACCGCTTGAGGCCGCGAGTTGTTCTTACCGGAACTTTATCACATTCTATTAATTAGATTAGCCATATGATTCAATTATAGTCATTTAATTAGTCAATTATTATATACTGAAAATATGTAATGATATATAAATACTGTAGTTGTATGTTGTAATTAAAAGCAAATGTATTCACTCATTTCACAGACTTTTTAATGTTGTTGTTCCAAATTACACCGCTGGATGTCACTGCTGTTCAAAAATAGTTTTTACTTGTTAAGGTTTTGGCGGGAAAGACAGTTGTGTAAATGAGAAATAAAAATGGTTTATTTTAGTACAATTATGTGTATTCCAGGTCCTTTTTTTTTACTTGTAAAACATTAAGTTTTGACGAATTATACCACATTAATTATTGCTTATAGTGGGGAAAATGCTTGCCTCCTATATAGTCCTGAGCTAGATTCCATGGAGGAGCCTGTACAATGAAATAATTTTCGAATCAGTTTTAGGAGGTTAGCGCGAAATAAAATAAATAATGTTGGTTATTTTAAAGTTTAAAATGATCCTTTTCATTCATATAACATTTGAAAGCAATATAGCAACAATGTCTGCAATGAAAAATTTTTGGAAAGGAAGAAGATAAACAACACAATGTTACCAGTATTAATAATATTACAAAGTGTTAACCTGTCAATCTTAGCTCGATTTAAATTGCTATCGACCTAGATTTGATTGATTGTAGATTTATTTTTGTAATATAAAATGTACTAAATTCAACATAAATGTATGTTAAAAATTTCACATAACTCTTCCACATACTCTACTTAAGTCTCATTGGGACTGTGTGGCCGATTATGTCCTTAAGGGCTAATGGAAGCACGCGGACAGCAAGACTTATCAATGTTATATTTTATTTATTTATTTAATTATTTATTGTACAGGAAAACACAAATCACATTTGGTTAAACGGAAAATACAAATAAAAGGTACTGCTTATTTCTATAAGAAATTTCTTCCTGCAGACCAAAATACAGGACTCGGCACGTAAACCCGTTATAGTAAGATAACGGATTTACGTGCACAACAAAACATAATTAAATTATGTAATAAAATAATAATAAAAAAACAGCAAAAATATGAAATTACTACAGATTGCATAAATACATAGATAAATACACATTTCATATTATAATATCTATAAAATGGATGGAACAGAGGATAAATAGTGTTCCTTCACTCTCATTTTAAAGGTAACTAAGGATTTACTGTCATGTGCAGTAATGGGAAGTGCGTTCCAAAGTCTGATCGCATGAACAGTAAAAGAGTGAGAATAAAAACCGGAATTGAATAATAGAAAAGATAATTGGAATCTAACGAGAGAGCGACAAGGCTTATCCTGGGACCTGAGAAAACTGAAACGCTCTTTCGGATACCTGGGAGACAAAGGATTATGTAGAATGTTGTAAAGAAGAGAGACGACATGCAAATTCCTGCGGAGACGAATGGGAAGCCATTTGAGCTGATTGCGATAGTGTGAGATTCGATCATATTTACGAAGGCCAAAGATGAATATACATAGATTTTGCAACAGTTCAAGCTTATTTAGCAGTTCTTCAGTAGCATCTAAATAGCAGGAATCTGCATAGTTTAAGAACGGTAATATAAGAGATTTTACAATTGAATTGATTTTATGATATTACAATTGAAATAAGGTCTAAATTAATTAATTAATCTGTTAAATGTTATTAATAAATTCAACCTATATAATTATTAGTATTAGATGTTTATCGTGGCGATGGTATCGTTGAATTGGTTTATGTTTTGAAAAACGATGTGTCGACAAGGTCAGGTTGAAAATCAGTACCGCGAGGCATACAGCCACAAGGATTATACTGAGCCTCTTCCTTCCACGCACTGTTGTTGTTCCCACAATATTGTTATATTATTATGTTCTGTATAAATGGTTTAAATTAATATGCACTGAGACTCAGAGCGAAATGCCTCGTTACGTCTTTACTCTCTAGAGCAGAAATTCAACATCAATGGACTCGGCTACAAAACATCGTATGGAAGGTTCTTCAAAGAAATTTAGAACTCATAATATAACACAAGCGTAAAATGTAGTCCAGTCTACATGTACCAAATATATAAAGGAATTCAGTCTATTGACAACAGGACAAAGCCCCTCAAACGGTCCATTGTAAAACGACGTTGATGGTCAAAGCCATTTCGTGTAGGGTGAACATGATAAAAAATAATAATACAATACAATACAAATATTCGTTTTAGTAAACAACATGCCTACATAAACAAAACACAGATACAACGGGTGGCCTTATCCCCAGATAACAATCTCTTGCAGTCAACATCCGGGTTACGTGATACAATTAAAGATAATAATTAATTGAGGGCGCAACGAATGCTCACTGAACACGAATTTAACACACGTATTGTACTTACACTAATAAAATAAACAAAATATTTAAATAAATAAAAAAATGTAAAGAAAAACATATATTTACATAAATTATCACCACGGATTAAAGGGAAAAAGAATTTGGTGTATATAAAACAGTAACAGTAAGTAAACAGAGTAAGTAACAGAGTATTTTTTATAGTAAAGTTCTAATAAAATGTAATAATATATTACAATGACGACGTCTGTGGTCGAATGGCTTACACACCATGTGGCTGTAATGTCACTAGCACCCTTACCCTCTAAAACCGAAACGCAGTATTGGTCACATTGCTGCTTGACGGCAGATATAAATAATAAATCACGCGCACACACTCATAGCCCTAGGGAAACACTGTATCGCGGGTGCCATGGACACATACATAGACAACCATAAATTACACCAAAACTCATGAGAGAAATAAATGTAGGCCATACAAATATTTCTATCGGCCCGGGAATCGAACCCGGGACCTCTGTGTGGCAATCTACCATGGTAACCGTTCGGCCACTGGGGCAGTTTAAATATAGATAAAGTGGCAGTACTTCCCTGGGCGAATTCTTTTATAAAGAGCCCTGCAGCTACAAAGACTCGATTCAACTTTTTTAAATCCACTCGATAGAATGATACCTCCAATGAACACGACGCCCACATAATTTTTTGGTCATTTTCTGTTTTCGATTTTAATTTATAAAAAAATAAATTAAAATCCTTTATTTTAAATTTTTATTCAATTGATTCACTTCAATTCAATTATTTTAGTGAAATTACTCCACTAGCTTGTTATAATTATTAATACAAAGATTGAACACTCAGAAAAAATTCCTTCGATCCGGCCGGATTCGAAAATTCGAATATATATATGAAGTGTACATTAAAATTTTCAAAATCGAGGTGTAATAACATAATATAAAATTCACTGAAATAATAATAATTTAGTCAAAAGTAAAAATTTAAAATAACTCACATTTACAATTAATAAAATAAAAATTCAAATTAGCAAATAAATAATAATTTACGCTCCCCGGAGCGTAAATTATTATTAATTTTGTAAATAAAAAAAGCAAAATAAAAACAGAGATGACCAAAAAATTAAGTTGACGTTTCAGGGTTCAGCCCAGTCCCACATAACCCCGGCTCTGCCCCCGCGGGGCCGGGGTATCTGTAAGCAGATTCCCCCGGATTAACAAAAAAAAAAAAGTGTTCGAGGTATTGAGAAAAACTATGCATTATTTAATATGCGAGTACTACAGATCCGATTGTATACCAATAGTGTC